TCATATTCTACCAACTCCATATCCAAAGATGTCAAAGTTTTGACAACTCTATGATTTCCTTCTAGCATGGCACTAAAAGTTTCCAGGAAAGCTCAAACGATGACCACCCTCTCTCATTTACGGTATGGATACAGTGGTTCATTTTTCTTAACTTGGTTTTCCAAACAGCTTGGCTCTCAGAGGCTGGCAAGACAGCATGATAAAGAGCTCAAATCTGAGGATCTTCCCAAGGCAGTTAAGCCACCAGAACATTTATTAAGAGTGGGCAGGATCAGAGGGGCACTGTGAAAGGGGAAGAAAAAGAGGAGGCAGGAGCGGGAATAGGGCAGGGAATAGATGGGGAGGCTGTCAGTCCATGATCACTTCCACAAACTGCTGCTGTCACATCTGCAGTGCTGCCGCCAGCAGTCTGGAACTTTCTCTTAATTTAGCCTGCTGTTTGGCCTCTGACAGTCTAGCTGAGGACTGAAATGGGATCCTAAGCCCCAGAAAATGTATGAATTATATGATTATGCAACTCTCCTTATGTAAAGTTACCCTGACACAATCCATCACCCTCCACTCATGTCCCCTGCATGTGGGACCAATCTGCGAGATGCCATCTAACTTGAGAGCACGCCATTCAAGCAGCCACTCCCGCCTCCCTCCACCTACCAGTGTTCTCAGATGTAGTTGCTGCTTTAGCAAGAATTAGTGCCCATGACCTATTGGACCAGAAGTGTGAAAGCTTGCTCTGGAGCCAAAGCTTTACTTTACACTGCACTTTAATGCTCAAAGCTGATGACAAGTGCTGCGATTTATTCCCCAAATTCTTCCAACACTGTTTCCATCAGTAACGAATTGTTCCCCAAAGCAGTGCTGCACTCCTAGGAAAACTGGGAGATTTGGTGTCTGACGGGCTGGGATTAGTCTAGTGCTTAGACGGACAGACAGACAATGTGGTCCTTCTCAGCTATCAAGATATTCAGGAACAGTATATTTTAAAGGTTCAATGGCAGCAATTATGAGCAATCCCAGTTTTAAAATTCACACATTCTTTGCTTCCTTTATGAAAAATTAATAACTACCGGCACTAAAGTAGGTTTTAATAAAATAAAGTGGGATGCTGTTAGATGTCTCTAGAGCCTTGCTAGTGTGGTGTCAGGACTGGCAGCAGCAGCAGCATTGCCTTTGGGCTTATTAGAAATGCAGAACCTTCCCCCACCCCCATCTTCTACAACCTAGGAACCAGAACCTGCTTTTTGATAAGCTTCCTCAGGTAAACTGACATGCTCATTATTGGTTATAAAGCAGTGATCTAGAACAGAAAGTTTCATATTAAGAACAATTATTTCTGCATTTGCCTATCCTTAATTCGTGTTCAGATGCTATTAGGTAATTGTGTATTCTATAAAATCCTTTGGATTTTAATTACATTTGAAAATGCATTTGGCTCTGCAACACCTAGTAGTAGCAGCAATAGTTAATATTTTCTGAAAGCTTATGTATGTTAAACACTATTTTAAGGGTTCACATATTAACTTATTTAAATTCTCACAGTTGCCCTGCGAGGCAGGTGATATTTTCACGTGAGGAAAATGAGGTACAGAGAGACAGAACAAGGTTATGCAGGTAAGAAGTTGCCAAACCAGAATTCAAAGCCAGGCATCCTGGTTCTGGAGCCCGGTGCTAACCCTTATGCCACGGCTTCTCTTAGTTACTATCCTCCAGCAAAAAATGTGCTCAACAGGAGATGGCTTGGTATAGGCAAGACTGGAAGATCAGGTGCTAATTAAGAGGATGCCAACTAGTCATTGAACCTCTGGAAAATCTGTTTAGCTTCACCATGTATCATACTTCTCTCTGAATTCAGAATAGATAATCCCTAAGTCTAGTTCTAGGCCCATCTAGCCTATACCATCTAGGTGGTACAACAGAAATATTCCTCTGGGCTAACTCCTACACTCCAACTGATACACGTACCAGTGGTTTCAGCATGTGTTCCCTGGAACCCTGGGGTCAGTCCTTCATAGACACTCAAGAGCCTAAGTGGTTGTTCTCGCCAGCCAGTCCTCCCTGCATCTTTGCTGTTAATGAATCTATAGACTGTAGGTTAAAATAATAATTCAGTAGACAAAAAACTACCACTGTTTAAAAACATAAACAATTGAAAATCACTGATTTTGAGGATTTGGCTAACCATGTACATTAGAGATTCTTTTTGGAGAATTTATCATAATTATTATATATAAACAAACTAGAAATAGTATAGCAATAATGCTAATCTTTTTTTTTTTTTAATTTGGCTCATGGTACCATTTTCCCCGATGCCCAATAATCTCCTAAAAATATTAATAAATATATAGTATATATTTCCACATATATATGTTTATTCAAATTTAAAAATATGTTTACTAAAACCTCAGTTGAGAATAACTGGTACATTATTCTAAAATCCCTATTTTTAGAATAGATTTCATATTTAAAATAAAATTAATTTTTAGAATATTAATACATCATTCTAAAATTCACTTTTCAGGCTGGGCACGGTGGCTCACGCCTATAATCCTAGCACTCTGGGAGGCTGAGGCGGGAGGATGGCTCGAGGTCAGGAGTTCAAACAAGCCTGAGCAAGAGCGAGACCCCATCTCTATTAAAAATAGAAAGAAATTAATTGGCCAACTAAAAATATATAGAAAAAGTTAGCCGGGCGTGGTGGTGCCTGCCTGTAGTCCCAGCTTCTCCGGAGGCTGAGGCAGAAGGATTACTTGAAGTTTGAGGTTGCTGTGAGAGAGGCTCACACCATGGCACTCTAGTCCGGGCAACAAAGTGAGACTCTGTCTCAAAAAAATAAATAAATAAAATTCACTTTTCATAGCAAAATACTTTAATTTTTTAATACCTAGTCAATGTGAGTGTAAATTTTTACAATATTTTGGGGGAATAATATACTGAATTTAAAGTATACATATTTCTCAACCCATATTTTCATTTGTAGAAATTTTCCTACTGAGGCACTCCTGCAGGTGCAGCATGGAGGCTCACTGCAGCATTATTTATAACAGGAAAAGCAGGATTGGGGCAGGACAGGGCAGGGAAGGGTACCCAGCATTAGAGGTGGTTAAAGAAATCAGGACATCTATAAAATAGATTTCATGCAGCCATTTACAGGTTACCACCTTTCATCGATTCTAAGATACCATGGGTCATAAAATGCATCCTGATATAACAGACCTTAAAATGTGAAAAATGGCTTGTGGCCACTGTTGCGTGGCACCAATGATCAGATGGACTCTACTGTCCGAGAAGCTGAAGTGCAAAACAAAAGACAGTGTGGCTTAGATCGATGCTATGGATTTCAGTTCTAAATATTCTGTTAAATATAAATAGCAATCACTAATGTAAGTATATGACAATAATTAATGTATAGCAAAAAGTCAAGGGTGATAAAAACCCAACTATCAAGAGTGAGCATATTTAAGGAGCAGAGTTCAACTGTGGTAGGGCAGGTGGAGGGGGACATAACCTCTTTGATTAGTTTAATTCTTTACAAGGAATACATCTCATTTTTGAAACGAAGTTAAACTGTATAAACTGCATAAGTGAAAAAAGATTTGAGAGGGATACAGCATTGTGAGAAGATGACTCAAACCTCATTGCACTTACTTTTTACAGATTTCATTTTCATCTCCCTGCGGTATCTGCCTCCCAAGACAATGGTAATGCTAACAATCCCACCCTGCTCCACCTACAACCTCCCAGCCCTACAGGACAGCCAATCCTACAAGTTAGACATAGACACCTCCATTTTAGCAATGAGCTGCACAGGGTGAGGCTGTTTTGCCCTCACCATGCAGCTGCTGTGGGCGGTGCTGGATTCCACGCTCAGCCCCCCTGGCCCAGCAGCCTGGGCTGCTATCGTTGCCATCTTGGGCTTTACATACTTGCCCTTTATCCTTTGCTATTCGTTTTCTTCTTAGGGCATTTCAAATTATTTTCTTTTTTATGCTACACTGGTTTTAAGTTATTTCTAAGCCGGAAAGCTAATTTATTAAATAGCCTGAAAGATATATTCTAATTAAGTTAGCTAAAAATTAATGCATTTTCTCTTTTCAAGCAGTTCTTCCCCTCTTGACCATTTTGGGAACAGTCACTAAAAACTCCTTCACTTGCTACCTATGCACTATTTTTCCAGCATTAACAAGTCAGCCTTACAACAGGATATACCAAACACTTTCAAGTGCTTTCCTTCAATGAGCAGTAGCTCCAGTGGCAAGAAGAGAAATAACCAATCAATGCACAACCCAACAGCCCCTAAACAGCGCAGCCAGGAAGCACGGAGTTGGCACCTTCTGGGGCTCCTCCAACACCAGGCAAGAAGGTAAAACTGGGAGCTTAGGCTGTCTCATTTTTTTTTCCATTTGACCAAAGATTTAACCCTAGATCTCAAATGTGAAAGGAAAGGATATTTGTTCAAATACTTTTTCATATACTTTTAAAACTCTTCCCTTTTTGTTCCAACCCCTTTCTTGTATCTCTCACCTAGAGGGGTTGACATGAAAATTTGGACTTTGACCTATAATGATTTTCTACAGTCTCTACTTTAATATTTTTTGCTCTAAGTAGAAACTGTTAGGAATGAGAAGAATTGTAGGAAAAAACAGTGTCAGGAAATATAAATTCTAAAGACCTATGCCACGGATGGCTAAGTTATAGTAATATTATGTTTCTTCAGGTCATTCATCATTCTTTGGGGAAATGGAATGAGGGTTTCAAAAATTAATGATGGAGTCTGGGTTTTAGGAAAACCAGGAGCCAGATGTTTATGCCATCCTGCTCTTCCTGTACACACACACACACACACACACACACACACACACACACACACACACACACGCATGATGAAAGTAAGATATCAGGAGTGAAGGTGAAGATATATAAGAGAAATGTCAGGCTCCAAAAGGATGGGAGAAGAACCTGCTCCCAAAGGCCTCCTGCAGAGGAACTGGACCCAGGCTCACCTGAATCTTTCATGGGGCAAAGGGCACACTGCATGCCCCAGGCCTCTCCGTACAAACAGCAGCACTCGGTGTACGTCGTCTGCTTGCCCACAAGAGGCCGGCTGCACACATACTCATCACTCAGATGTTCCCAGCAAAGATCTTGGTAGACATCGGTTTCTTCGATTTGTTCTGAAAGGGAAGACATGGTTCGGTTCCATGATAATTGCATGGTTATTCCTATTTCATAAACATGACAGTGGAAGCCAGAAAGTCTCAAAGTTTCCATCCCTATTTCTAAGAGAGACTTCCAAGTAAAAGTCTGAATCCAGACTGGTCTTTCCATGGATCAAATCTTTGTCATCTCCAACTGGGTATCATTCCATCAGCTGAAATTCCACCTGCCTGTCGTATTCCAACTCAATCCTTCCCTCTATAGCTTTCCACTGTCATGTAAAATGCTCCACTATCTTGCCTGCCCTTCATAAGCCTGATGGACTTCTCTCTCTTCTAATCACCACTTTTTCACATGTACTCCTCTGTCAGATCCTACCATTTCTTTCTATGTAACAGTTTTTAGATTCCTGCTTTCTCACGCATTTCATCTACCAAAGCCCTGGACTAGCGACATCATCCTAGAGTTCTCAATTGCAACCTTTCTACCTGTCAATTGACTTCATCCAAAGCAGTCTCCTAAATGTCACAATTTATTGATTATGCCAGTTATCAGTGGCATGTTGCCTCATTGGAGATGAACAGGGATTTCTATCAATGGACTTCAGGGCTCTCCACCACCTTCTAAACTCCTCCCTCTGCTCCCCTGTGCCTGATCCATGTCCTTCACACCTGTCTTTCCCTGAACTTTCATCTTCCTTGGCTGCCTCTGAAGGTAAGGTATGATGAACCTTCAGGCATGGAACAACTCTGCCATCTGGCTTGGCCACTCTGTATTCCATTGTCCATTGAAAGATCATGTTCAGGATATTAAATCTCCTATATACTGATGATAGGCATCTTATTATTTCCTTACTATCATTTTAATTATTTCAAAACATCGAAGCAATCCAGTTTTCTATTTTCTAATAGCTCATATTTGAGTCAAAAGGAAAAGGTTATGATTTTCATTTGGACACAGGTTTGCATCTCACATGGAAACATACCATTTGATTCAGCTGGTCGTATACATCTTTTCTCTGAAGCATCCAGGACCATTGGATGAGTACAGAAGCAGTTGTAAGAGCCTTCTGTATTAACACACTGGCCGTCAATACAACTATTGGGGTCTTGACATTCATCCATATCTTAAGAGAAAAAAGAAATTACCAAAGAAAACCAGCAATCAGTTAGGATTTCATACATTCCCCAAATTTACACATTGCTAAATCTGGCCCGGATTCCGGGCCCTGCCACATTTTAATTAACTACACATTGTCATCTAAAAGAGAGCTGCTCTGACTATAAAAATGTAAGTTGTACTGACTGGAAAAACAACGTTGCTGCTGCTGTTCCTGCTGTCATTAAATAAGGAAAGAAAACATCTATGAACAGGATATGCCTAGAAATTTAAGATAAAATGCCTCTTTATGATACTTTCAAAATTATTTCCTTTTGCTATGTTTTTCTGCCTAGTATATATGGTTTTCTGCTTAAGCATTAAAGTCTGCATCAGTATTTAAAATGACTTTCACTTGCATTGTATGAGTGATGAAACAGGAGGTTCCACAGACCAAAAGAACACTTCAGTTACAGCAGTGACCTGAATTATAACTCCACATTGAATATTAACTCTTTGTTTTAAATCCATTCAAACAGTAGTATGAGGGTTTTTTATTTTCTTAAATCTCGCTTAAGAAAAAGATCCATAAAACATTTACACATCTTTTCAACACATCATTTAGATTCAAAGAAATTGCTTTTACTATATAGCATTACTTATTTTTTCCATCTGCATATGTTCGCAGCATACCATACTATATCCTCTTAAAACTTACCAAAACACTGCAATTTGACGGGATCATAGTATGTCCCTTGCTTACAGTAGCATTCATAACCAGGCTGAGTGTTCAAACAGAAACCATTTTTGCAAATTTCTTGTCCAAAAAGTAAGCATTCATCGGCATCTGTGGGGAAAAAAAAATGGGGAAATACAAAAAGGAGCTGGCTTTGGTCTTTCAGTTAGAAAGAAGAGTCTAACCAATATCATAATTTTTTTTTTTGAGACAGGGTCTTGTTCTGTTGCCCACGCTGGAATGCAGTGGCCCTATCACAGCTCACTGCAAATTCAAACTTCTAGGCTCAAGTGCTCCTCCTGCCTCAGCCTCCTAAGTAGCTGGGACTACAGGCATGTGCCACCACCTGTGGATAATTTTTTCTATTTTTAGTAGAGACAGGGGTCTCACCTTGCTCAGGCTGATCTCAAACTCTGGCCTCAAGCAGTCCTCCCACCTCAGCCTCCCAAAGTGCTAGGATGATAGGCGTGAACCACCGTGCTCGGCCTATAATATTATTTATATTCCAAAGAATCTTACACATATAGCAATATAAAATTCTTAAAGTTAGCCCTAATTGACAGGCATAGAAACATAATCAGATGTGGTCTGTCTGTGATATTTAAGGAGCAATGACCAAAACATCATCAAAGAAAGGATATTTGCAAATGTGGTTTCTGAGATGCTACCTCATATTTGATGAAATAGTCTATGGATTCCATATTGGCACCAATACTACCAGTAGTCTCTAAAGAATACACCTAAAGAATGTGCCTTTTTGTAATGTCTATTCTGGCTCATTCATTAGTCAAGATGTAGAAAGCTCCTGAGAAGAGTTTGGTGGAACTTGATGACAAGTCTTCTTTCTTGGTGATAAACACAAGCTAATGAGAGTACAAGTTGCTGAGGGGGTTAGCAGACCCATTCCCCCCCAGAATGAAGAGCTCTTGCCGCCTCAAGTTTACTCAGTGATAAACTGGGGACAACAGGAACATCAACCTAATCAGACAGAAAGGATTAAATGAGATAATCCATATATAGGGCTCAGAATACCCTCTGGCACGAGTAGATGCTCAAAAGTGTTGCTTTTATTGTTACGATTAGCATCTAGCATTTTAGAGGGAATGTCATCTACTTCTCATTTTAAAAACCGAAGACTCCATAGATGGCTTGCTCAAAGTTACACAGATGGAAAATGGCAAAGTTAAGTCTAGAACATATGGCTGGCTGGATCTGAATCCAATGTTCTTCCAACCATTTACAGCACTGCTAAAATAGGATGAGGAGGAATTTATTTTTATATAAAAGAGAGGATGACTTTATGGTGAAATCAGGGCTCTGTTCCATAATATGAAGTGAGATTCAAATACATTGCTGTAAAAATATGGTATTGTATGTGATATTTATGAATTTGGAAACCATTCAACACATATCATAAACCAAGTCTTCTTGTTATTTAATTGGACTAAGTCATAGATATATTTAAAAAACACAAATGGAATTTCTTATCCAGCTACTGAATTATACTATATTATTCAAACATTAATTTTCCAAAAATGGACAATAAAATGTATTTATAGTCTTTTTTCCAGCTACTTAGCAATTTTTAAAATTCAACTATAAAGGAAAAATAAATCATTCGTGTATAAAAGGTACTATCTCCATCACAAAAATGGTAAAAGTGAGTAGTTAACTGGGAAATATTAATATATGTGAATATCTGCCCAAATTAAAAGGCTACACATTTATTTTAGACTTATATAATAGCAGCATTAAATAGACAAAACATTTCTACTTTTGTTTTCTTCTCTTCCATTCCCTATTATGAATCTGTGGCCATTAGTAAAAGGTCCTAGCAATAGTAGGATAAGTTCTTTAAAAAAGCAAGAATCTTAGGTTTGTTGATGACCATAAAGACAAACATGATTATTAGTTAAATTTATATGGTTACAATTTATGTGACCATATACTATTTCTATAATATCTTTAGAATAAAATAAATTTAGCAAGCATCTACTAAGTACAGAATTCTGTGTTAAGTACTATCATACATACTATCTCATTTAATCCTCATTATAACCTTTGAGCTATTATTCCTGTCTCAGTGGTGAAGAAATGGAAGCTCAGAAGGTTAAGTGACCTCCCAGTGTCACACAGCCTCAAGTGTTCTGACTCCCAGAGTACACAGAGACCTTATTCCAATGGAAGATTTAGTACTTTGTAGTCAGTTTCCAGGCCTCAACTGAACTCTAATTCTGTGTAACCCAAGCCTGCTTTTACTTGAATGTCTGACAGGTGCAGGTGCTGCAAATCCATTTCCATTTGATTCTTACCTTTGTAGTTGTCGTCACCAGTTTCATCAGAAGCTTCTCCAGCAGGGACAAAACCTTTCCCTCTAGGACACATTTCAGTGAACTCAGCTGATTTTAGAAGAGACAAAATCAAGAAAAAAAACAAGTTGAAAAAAGAAAAAAAAGAATCAACATCTTTCCATGAATACATGTTTTAAATTCAATTTTGCTTTCTCAGACTCAGTAAATTTAAGGCAATTTTGGCAAATTAATTCAGTATAAGCTCAAAAAAATTTATGGATTAAATGCAAATAAATCTAATGACTTCATACGTCCACTTATAATATTTTTTTAAAAACCCTTCTAATTCACCCATATTTTATTTACCCCCGTTTTCACTTGATGTTATGACTATTATTTCTCCACTACTATGGTGTCTAATGTTTTAAAGGTTTTGTAAGAGCCCATTAAGCAAAATCTTAGCCTACATTTACGAGCTCTAGTTATGAATGATGCTATGTCATTGTTAGCAAAAAAATGAATTTATTTTAAAGTGGAATAAAACTGAATTATATTTCTGCCAAAATATTATATAGAACCTGATGGGAACAGTACCCCCCCTGGATAGACAGAAGTTTAAGGATTCCTACTGAGGTGGGCTGAAGGTGACAGCTCTAGCCCTGAATGAAACTCATAAGGTGAATTTCACCTCAAGTCTAGGATGGCAGTGAATGCCATCATCTCAAGGCCCACGGACACCACCTGAGCAAACACCAGTGTGACTACACCACTTAGCTGATGCTTACCGGTTCCCAAGACTGGGCAGGGGAAGATCTCGCAGTTGTCCCCCCACCCGGCGCCTGAGGTACAGCAGCATTCTTGTTTGGTGACATTGGGGGCCAGCACGTTGTCGCAGAGACTGGCGTCGTTCAGATTATAGTAGCATTCTTTCTTTTCTTCTCTGGGTTGATCTACATCTAAATTTAAACAGAGCGGAGAAAGTGAGAAGAGTGTGGATGGGACACATCACAGCCACTACAACACAACACGCAGAAAACAACAGGAGACGGAGTGACCGAATGGGTCAATGGCATTTCCTTTACGGAAAACTACTTTCCACTTTCAGTGTCAGAATCTTCCATTTCTAGATAAAAATGCACTTGGATCCTGAATTTTGGTGGAGTTCTAACATACCCCAAGAGTGTAAATCTGTCAAAACCATTTCCTTTTACGTTAACCAATTATTTTATTCTTGTAAATTTGGCTGTGAGTAGAGTTTCCATATCTGCTTTTCTTGCCAAACATAGGGCCATTCTTAACTGAGCTGTAACACCTACTTAAATCAATAAAAATTTTCCCTAACACTTGACTAGGGGCCTGGGGCCACACATAATATTTAACCCTTAGGTGGTTATTTGAATCAACCATGCTTCCAATCTCTTCTGAACAGTACACAGCAGAAGATAACTAAGAAAATCCTGCAGGAACCTGGAGCCTATAAAATAACCCTTCGTCACTGAAAATCTAACTACTTAAAGTGTTGCAAATATATGACTTTGAATGAAATAATGAGTGCCAGCAAAGCCTCAGGGTAGAATTTCAAGTCTGGGTTCTAGTCCCAGCTCAAGGGCATCCTAGAGAAAAACACATTCTACAGACTTAGTTGAACCCTCTGTGGGATAAAACACAAACAAGGTGATATGAGAATAAAATTCACCCACTTTCAGATAATAACAATTATTGAATTCTAGCAGATTTGAAGTCTTTGAACAAGTTTATGCTTTTAAAAAATGATCAATATCTTATCACTAGCCTTAGTAGTCACAACCCTTTCCTACCACATGCTATAGATTTCAAATGACTGCCTATGATCCAGTTAGAATTTATTAATAGTTTTTATTTTACGCTATATCAAATATGCAGTTCACTATTGTCATCGCAATTACTCAGATTAATTCTAATGCAATATTTTCATTAGAACTCTGTTTCTAGATTCTTAGGCCCAAAGAAACTGTAGGATCAAAAGGAAAACATTTCCTAGTGAGGATAAGATTTATTATATGTCAGCATCTACTTATCTCTTTTGAAGTCAGTAGATAATGATATTATTTGGGAAAGTTAATGAGTTATTTTTACAATAGCTTTCTATCATGTATTCTGGCAGAGCCTAGGTGACTATGGGAAACTTGATTAATATATTAAATAGTAAAGGTGTTTTTAAAATATAAGCTCATAAAATTCTATCAGAAAAGCCACTGCCCTTTCCCCTCAAGGCATTAAAAACAAGCAAAGCAGCAAATAAACCTTTGAAGTATATACCACTCTCAGAACACAGAGTATCAGTGACAATATAAATGATCCCTCACATCCTTGATTCTGGCCAATTCTCAGATTATTTTGTCTTTGACAGATTTCAACTTGGACTCTTAAGTTAGCGTTAATAGCTGATGACAAATTCAAACCTAGAACAAGTGTCCAGGAAAAAACTGAAATGCTGATTTCTATGTAGCAGTTTATGAAGCGGTTTTAAATTATTTCCTTGTGTGTGAAATTGGGTGAAACTTGCCACCTCCCTCATCTGGGCTAGCTTGCTTCGAATGTGCACGGGACAGAGACGCACTTTACGTACTCTAACAGAAGGGATTTTCATCAGAAGGGGCTCCAGGCTCTTAGATGTGGAATTATTTGGGAAAACTATGGGTACATATTTTAAATTATCATTAAATCAATCAGGAACCCTATGGAAAATTTTAGAAACTGTCCCCCAACATTGTGACTAAATTGCCAGAATATTACTGTTACCAATTCTGCTCAATGGTTTTATTCAATGGGCCTAAAAATGCAGCTACCTATTAATGAAGGCAGTTAGAAATACAAATCAAAAAAGCAACACAGAGTTCTGCAAATCCGATTTACTTTACAGTTTGTGCTAAAAGAATTTGAAAATGTCTTCCTCGTGTACAAAGTTATAAGCACGTCATGGTGTTTATTACAAAATGGAATACTATGCAATTAGGCCTCTGAAGACTGCTATGTTCACAGGTAATCACAAACTGTAGACTTCTGAGTCAAAGCATGTCAAAAATTTTATCTATATAATTTAAATTTCAAATTTAAATATAAATACTAATACTTATCTATAAAATTTTACGTATTATATACATACATATACAAATATACACATTTATAGTAAACACTGTTTTGTTTTCTACAATGTTTGTTATACTCACATCATAGAAACTAAAATATAAGATTAAAAAAATTTTGTTTTTTTGCCTTTTTTTAGGAAGAAAACTCACAGATTTTATAAGGGAAACAATCAATAATATAATTGTAATTATCCAGGCTTTGCATTGGTTGTTACGAGTTTTACTCTCATTTTTTTTCCCCAAGACGTTTGAAAATTCAATGTTTACACAGCTGAAACTGAGGGTTAGTCAGGCCCTCATCTGCGTTTGGAAAGAAATGCAAATTCTTTTTTAAAAAACTGGTCCACAAAGGTCATTCTGGGGAAAACTACAATTTCCCTATCTTCCTAGCCTTTAAGTAATTAACTTTCTTAAGCATTTTTCCATTGGGGTAAAACTCTGATCAGTAAATATATTTCATGTAATTTCTTTAAAGAAACTCTGTGTGCTGCCAGGGGTGGAGGGTTTCTATATGGAAAAAGACTTTTAAAAGGTCAAATCAATGGTTATAAAAATTGTCAGGCATTACAAAGAACAAATTTTTTTTTTCTTAAAGATGCTATGAATAAGATTAGCCACGCTACACACCTCATGCCACAGACTTCTAAGAAATATATTACTTCTCCTTTGGAATTTTCAGATTTGATTTTTCAATTTGTATTAAGAGGTTGGCTTAAAATCTGTGTAAAAACATCAATTGTGTACTTCTAGAGATATGGCTGACAACAACAAGAAAGTGAATTTTGGGACAGTTTATAAGTGGTTTTTCATCTTTTTTTTTGGTTTTTAAAAATTTTATCTAATATATATATATTTTTATTTCAGCATATTATACGGGTATGAATGTTTACGTTCCATGTGTTGCCTTTTCCTCCCTTCCCCTATGCCTGGACTCAGAGCTTCAAGTGTGTCCATCCCCCAGTTGGTGCGCATCGCACTCATTATGTATGTATATACCCATCCCCTCCACCCCCCTTCCATTTGCCCGATCACCGATAAATGTTATTCCTATATGTCCACTTAGGTGTTGATCCGTTAATACCAATTTGCTGGTGAGTACATGTGGTGCTTGTTTTTCCATTCTTGGGATACTTCACTTAGTAGAATGGGTTCCAGCTTTATCCAGGAAAATACAAGAGGTGCTATATCACCATTGTTTCTTATAGTGAATAGTGCTCCATGGTATACATATACCACATTTTATTAATCCTCTCCTGTATTGATGGGCACTTGGGTTGTTTCCACATCTTTGCAATTGTCAACTGTGCTGCTATAAACGTTCGAGTGCAGGTGTCTTTTTAAAAAGAGTGTCATTTGTTCTTTTGGGTAGATGCCCAGTAGTGGGATTGCTGGATCAAATGGTAGATCCATTGTATCACTTTAAGGTATCTCCATATTGCTTTCCACAGAGGCTGAACTAGTTTGCAGTCCTATTTGGTGTTTTTTTTTCAAGGGATTTTTACAGTGATCTACAGAGTAACTACATGAGATAGAAGATGCAAGTAAATAAGCCAGGCATGGTGGCTCACACTTATAATCCTAGCACTCTGGGAGGCTGAGGCGGGACGATTGCTTGAGCTTAGGAATTTGAGACCAGCCCAGGCAAGAATAAGAACCTGTCTCCATGAAAAATTAGCCGGTACAGTGGAGCATGCCTGTAGTGGTGGCTACTCAGGAGGCTGAGGCAGGAGGATTGCTTGAGCCCAGGAGTTTGAAGTTACAGTAAGCTAGGATGACGCCACTGCAGTTTACCCTGGGTGACAGAGAGAAACTCTGTCTACAAACAAACAAACAAACAAATAACAACAATAACAACAAAGCGAAGAAGATGATGATGCAAGTAAATTGATCATCCTCACTTCCTAGAAGAGAAAATTCCAGCTTGTTGGAATTTTCTGGAATTTGCTGATATTGGTTCCAAGTGTCCTGCAGGTCTACTACTTTCCCCAAAACCCTTCTTTGGGGCTCAGGTTCTTAGGAGTTTAATTAGCATGAGTTTGTTTTGCTTTGCCTTTTTTCTTTGTATTTCCTTTTTCTCTTTGAGACAAATGCAGAGAGGCAGGAGATAATCCTTGCTGGTGTGGAATTCAGTTGCAAGGCCACACATAGTGTGATTGCCTCCCCTACGCTGAACAGGAAGGTGTGGGTTGGAGCTGTAAACACCACCTATGCAGAGCCCTTTCTGGGAGCTCCTTCTTCCTTAGTTCATCAGACTAAAGAAGGTGTGGGGCTGTTTACTTATAGGATTCTTCAGTCTTTCCCCAAATATGTCCAGTTGTAGGAAATGATGTTGGGGTACGAAAATCCAGGACATTATTTTGGTTAAAGTAGACAAGAGTTTTCTAAATGAGACTTTGTCTTTGCTTTCCTTTTCCATTTGCAATGTGTTCTGAAGGTGTTTATGAGCTAACCCCCTCCATACCTTTTAGAATACTCAGGATTATGACAATGACCAAGAACAACACCCAAATAGGTGTGAGTAAAGAGTGGCCCCCAATGAAACAGCTGCCTGTAGTCCTAAAAGAGATCAATTTTAAAACTCTGTGCATGTGATAATGTTCAATAGATTACTTCCAGTAGCATTACCCAAAACACTTTATTCCTTTCTATCTCAAAAATTGCTATGGGCACTAATGTTTTATACTATCCTCATGCTTTTACTAGAAAACCAATTCTAGTGTAATATTTCAAGGAGTAAAAGGGAACTTGTAACTTCATATACATTTCTTTTTCTAGCTTTCTCACTTAAGAACTTAGAAAATGAGAAATGTGTTTTGTTTGGCTTTTAA